TTTTTTCTGATAGGTTGGTACAAAATGAAAATTTTGTCTGGCAACACTGAGTACGCATCTCCATCAGAATGCAATCAGTTACTCGTATTTGTATAAAAAATTATGTAGTTTGTGTCGGCGGGATGTAAGCAAACAAAGGATAGCTTGATAGCAATGGAAAGGATGTTGGCGAATTTAGCTTCACTTTGTTGAATAATGTATATTGATGCATTCTTTGTCACCCAACAAAAATCCAAATGGTAAATTATTGAAAAATTTCCTGAATGACGAAGCTCACCAAATTGCTACGTCACACCGACGTGATTTTTAGACGTCATAGATACTTCACTGCAACGTCATAAGAGTGACAGTTTCAATATAGGTATACCGAAACAATCATTTTTATATGAACATAGCTTGTTGGTTTCCGAGATATACAGTGTGTCACAGTTTTTTAGACAAGAGTTTTTCTACTACTTTTCGAGAATATTAATAATTATAAAAAAACTTGCATGTTGATTCGCGTTCATGAGTTATACTTTTGTTTCACATGATAATATTCATGGTTTAGAGAAGGTCTGGGAAAAATGGACGTCGACAGGACGTCCCTGCAACGTCATGAAACTGACGTCTTCTTTTACCCATCTAATAAGTGACGTTCACTCGACGTCGAAACTTGACGTGATTATCACGTCATAGAAAGTACGTCATAGTGACGTCATAAATTGGTGTGTGACGTGTCTGACGAAAAATCACCAATTAGGGACGTCACAGTGACGTGATCATTCGTCATCTGGTTGCCTGGGTCAAATACTTTTCAATTTTATATTTTTAAAGGATTCTTTCGGTCGATTTTGTGGTGCAATAATACCACGGTTATTTTCAAACGACTAGAAAAAGTAAAAACTGACGATTTCGTAAGTAGGGGCAAAACATAGCACAGTTGCCATGTGTTGAAATGCGATTGGCAACTTCAGAAGTAATAGTTATTCAATAGTTCATACATTCTCAATTGAGTGTTGGTAGTTTCCTAATAATCAATAAAAATTCAATTGTCTCGGAATGTTCCCTTATGATTTGTGGCTAATTGCTTGTAATAATTTGGTGCATATATAATAATTATATCAATTCACACTAGAGGACATTTGAATCGGTGAAAGTGAAAACACGGCGCACGACTTGTGGGCGTGGTCTTGTCAGTTCTCATCATCCAGCACAACGTTGCCATATCTACAACATTCACATGATATTTTGTTATGGAGAATAAGAAATACTTGGACATCCTGGTTGCTCCAAAAAGTCAATAATGAACTTTAATATTATGGGTTCCTTCTATTATGCTTCATTCAACGACATGACTCTAACATCTCTTTGATAACTTGATTATAATTGGTGACTTGAAAACCCTGCTTCATGAGTGGAAATGGAAGATTATCTGACTAATAACGAAACAGCATGAAAGCTGACGTCTCCATTTATTCGGCGTATCGACAAATGGCAGCCATGAAGGTTCGTTTGAAATGAGCACTGAAATTTAACAATTTCGACCAACGCATAAACTCATTATCCACATAAAAAAATTGTGAGAACTGTTGCAAAAATTAATTTAGGTTCCTAATGACACAGTAGAGTAATTGAATGCCAATAATTCATTATCGGTTCACTCGCCCATTAGGATATTTGACTTTTACACTGATCTCACGTTTTAGTTGTGTCAATTAGTGAGAGAAAATGTCAGCACTTAAAGTTGTATAGATTCGAAGATTGCGAAATATTTACTTGATTTTTCCTTGAAATAAAACAGCTGGCAACACAATAAAACGTCCCTTTCACTGTCTTGCCCGTGTAAGGTTTTCAAATTGAGTTTTTTAAAGTATTACAGCATATTTCATCAACAAATTAAGCATTTTTGTTCTTGCCTATTTCATACGCAGACTGGTGAAGTTTTCACCGAAAAAATTCAGTAATTGTTTATATTCATGGGAAAAGATTTATTTCCTTTCCCTCGTAAGTTCATACCAGTGAACCCATCAACTTTTCAAATTGCAAATGTTTTATTGTTGATGGCAAAGCTCGAGGCGAATTCTTCGAACGATTCAATTCACAATGCTATATAACAGAACCAAAACAAAGGCTATTTGTCTGTTATAGTACGAGTTAACTGTTCTTTGTTGAATGCCTGTTTTTTTTTCATTAAGACTAATCAAAACCAGGAAGGATGAGACAGAATAGTCTCCGACTCCGTCTTTACTATTCATTTATATGGTGAAGATTTAGAGATTGTGATAAAAATATAAGGAAATTGCAATGTGCTCCTCAAATCGCGAAACTATATTTTAACGAGCTTGTCCTACATACGAAGTTCCTCAGTCCGAAGCGATTGAATTCACAGGCATATACAGGAGAATTTATTTTGCTAAAACTTCCAATGAGTTGTTCGATTCCAAAATGGCCTGACCGAGAGATATATGGAACTTCATAGGCGTGCTGGGTTGGGTGGATTGAAACACACTGTATCGGATTGATATTTCCATACACATCACTTATCTGTGGAATGATATTGCTAAAAGGAGATTGCGAACGTGATCATCAATCCTGATCACTAATTATACTGATGTTTATTTATTGGCTCTCGACTTATGGATAGGCCACTTCATATTTCGAATAGCAGTGGTGTATCAGTGAATAAAATTCGTATACAGGGGTTATCGATTTGGCCCTGTTCAATGGGAATATTTTCAAAATGACGACTCTTCCGCACATACCGGAAGTGGATAACATCTTCGTTATTTCAAATGGGAACTTCATTTTTATTGCTTTTTTAGTTTCCTCATGGTACCTAAGATGACCTTCATCAGCCTCCCTGAGTCAAGCCAGTTTCGAAATATGAAGACATTCTCATTTATTTTAGTTTGCAACTTCCTTTTTGGGAATTGATATCGAATATTGAGAAAACTCATTTTTTTGGAATATTTATGATTGGGGAATCAATAAGGAATCTCCCAAATTTGGGAAAACATTTGGGATAGTTCAAGTACCAATTACTTCTCTTCTTCAATTAATGGAATGCTGATTTTTTCCTTCCACTTGATGGAAAAGAATTTAATCGTCATCAATTTCATTTTCGTATCTGATATCACAATGACTTCATCGCATTGACAGCTCTGTATAAAAGAAGATCATAGCTTAGGAGAAAATCAGATGGCTACAAGCCGAATTTTTTTTTTTGTTATTCATCTGTTACAGCTAGATAGAGTATCGTGTATATCTCGCACGGACTGCTATACTTTCCCAAACGTTTAAGCCTACGGCTCATGCTGCAAACTTTTCATTTTCTCTTTTTGGATGTTCAATAAATATATAATTCAATGTTCGACGTGGTAAATAGCCAGGAAAGTAGTTGTTTTCTGTTGAATATTCAGAATGATGTTATGTGCATACTTATACATATTTTTATCTGAAGGAGAATGCTAATTCTCAACTTCAGAAGATTTTGTTTTCAAATTCTTATCGCGTGTGTTCAATAGATATGATTCAATGTTCGTCGTAGCATATTTGTTTCCGGTTATAATTGCACGAGTGCATAAAAATTACCGATAATTTTGCAAGAAAGCCTGTTATCTAAAAATTGCAAGTTTATTTTCATATTTTGGCGGAAGAGCCCGAGTCCGACGGAGGATGGCTCTTTTACAAAATATGAAAATAAACGAATGACATTTGTATAAGATAACACGCTTGAATGCAAAATTCCCTGGTCATTTTTATGCACGATTGTAATTCATTGGAATATTTCACTACATCGTGAAATTCTGTCTGTTGGATTTGGTATTTTTTAGATTGTATGGAGCACTCACATTTTTATAATTTTGAAATCCATCCGACATTAGATTAGATTAGATTTGGAATGGGGCCTTCGGGCTATCTGCCTCCACACTGCGACCTTTTCAGATCTATTGTGCCTGCTCTCAAAATGGATTAGAGTTCTTCGGCTAGCCCCGCCTTCTCTATGAGACTCCATAGGCTAGCTTTCAGATCTCCTGTGTATCTCTGGGCTCCTGGTTTCTCCTCACCCAGCGTAAGGAACTTTAGTCTTGACAAGCCCTCACAGTGGCAAAGTATGTGTACTGCTGTTTCTTCCTCTTCTTGACAGAACCTGCACAGCAGTTCTTCAGTCAGACCTATCGTACTCATGTGTTTGTTGAGCCTACAATGCCCTGTGAGAAGTCCCACTAGTATTCTAGTTGAACTCCGTTTCTGGCTTAGTAGATATTCTGTGAATGTTGGCGATGGTTTTTTAATAAACTTTTTTGCCTGTCTCATTCCTGGCGAGTTGTTTCACCATTCTTGAGATTTAGTTTGCATCCATGATTTGATACTAGTCTTTTGTATAGCTTTCGCAATACCACAGAAGGGTTCTGGGCCATTAAGAGCTTTGTTTGCTCCTGCTCGGGCAAGTGAGTCTGCCTCTTCATTGCCCTCGTACCCTGTATGTGCTGGTACCCATGCTAGAGTCAATCTGTTCTGACTGCCCAGTGCATTTAGGGTTTCTAAGCAGTCCCATACTAGTTTTGAGTTAACTTGCATAGAGTTGACTGCTTTGATTGCCGCCTGGCTATCTGAATAGATTGCAATGGTTTTGCCTTTAAACTCTTGCCTTATCAATTCTTTCACGCAATGATGTATTGCGACATTTATTTGTATTGTTTACTGGCGTCTAGTGACATGTGTCGTGTTTGATACTTTTTCTCCTCTTTTTTTTAAGAACAAGAACTAATTCATCATGATCTCATTTCACGTTATCAATTTGATGACTAACAGTATTTCATGAATTAACGATTCATTTGTGATAATCGTATTATGTTACGCTACTGTCCATTATCAACTTGAGAAAAAGTTAAGAGTTTTAATCTTGAAAATTCACCATGAAATGAATACCTCAATGATAACTTGGACGTGCTTTGATTAAACCACATGAAATGTTTCTAGTTTGCTAATAAAGTGATTTTTTCTATTTATTCCAGACCCAGCCTAGCACCATCATTTTTAATGCTGTGATAATAGTATAAGGTAACAATGGATCCAGTCAGGTGAGTTTATCATGATATACAAATGATAATGTATTCCTGAATGTATACAGGGTATCATGTACATTTTGAAGGGGGAAATTGCCTGACTAACTTTAGAATTTTTAGTTCTAATAAAAATGCCATCATGCAAAGTTGAGAATGTGCTTAGATTCTTCTTTTCGTTACCCTTCACTCCCTTCAGATATAACTTTTCGTGATGGCAAAAATAAGTCTGATATGTGATTGAAATAGTGCAGAAATTTCGAAATGTATAGAACATCCTCAGAATGATCTAGGCATATTCTTAGTATACTTCACGGTATATCTTGAAAGCGCATGAAAAATATTTCAAGTACTGATGATATGGGAGGAAGAGGAAGAGAGAGAAGAGGCGAAAAACTACTATTAGGGTGAAATCATAATATATTTCACACACTTCAAAAAATATCACCCAAAAATTGTTATAGTTCAAACATTATTTATACAGATACCATACACGGACCATGAGAAGCTTCAGGAATATCACGATGTGTGAAACCATATTTATATGATTAGCACCCCTAACGGATAGTTTAAGCACCCCTAACGGGTAGGAAGAAATTAATTGGGGCAAACTGAAATTAACTTTGACAATTGACAATTATTGCTACCGCATGTTTTATCAAAAGCTGCCAGAAGGATTTTGAATAAATCAATGAAATTTCTGAAAAATTCGACTATCTCAAAAACGAAGCAACGACATATGATTATTGTGATCAAAATGTTGCCTCTTTTTCAGAGTATCTAAAAATATATACAGGGTGTCTGTAAAAGGGTCGGGACATGGCTTGGCTGTGGACTCCTGGGATAGAAACAAGTTGATTTAGGTCAACTCACCTATATCCAAAATCGTCTCGATGAGTTGGTACAAGGCGTGAAGTTTTTTTGGAAAAAAATAATTTTGCTCATAAAAAGAGTTGGCTGAGATCGATTCTCATAATTTTTGGCATGGCATAATCTGTGACTGTGTTTCACGTTTTGAGATGTTTTTCATCATCATCAGTGACCTGCGAGTGTTTCAAACAACTATGTTGCCGTACAAATTTGGTGATAACTTTTCAGAGGTCACACTGAAAACTTCCAGTTTTTTTTCCAGGAAGATATTCCCTTCAGAAATATTTTTTTACCGCACTCAAGATATACCACGAAACGTTCATAAGTTTATGCAGAAACTGTTTATTTCAGATGGTTTTAAAATTTTATACAGGGTACCAGAGATAAAACCGACAGAATCTATGGGGTTATAAGGCCTGCTAATATGATTGCAAAATGCCATATACCAAATGTCCAAACCCGCTTCGTTACTGACTTATAGAGTGATTTGTGGATTTTGACAATGAATTGAATCCACTATATCAAATACAGGCATTACCTGGCGATTGAATTCAAATTATGTATATGATTTGAACCAAAAGGTTTCAACAAGTTTCTCTCTGATCCAAACCAATATCAGGACTGGAATATTATAGTATTTTCCTGTCTTTAGTTATTGTGGAAATAACTAACCCTATATTACAATTATCAGAAATCTGAGCTGAGATTGAAAATCTACGGAAAAAATACTATAGTAACTTATTTGATCTATTGCTTACACCGATTTAGTTATTCCGTAATGCATTATTATTCAATTTAGTTTTCATTTATTGTCGGATAGAATATCAAAAATGAAAATAATAATAATATTTACGAAACCAATACATAGTTGTTATTTGATTCGATTACTTCATAGACATATTCCATAAATTACTCTCGTAACCCGAAAAAACTGAAGGAATTTGTTTATGGCATTTTGCAATTATATTGGCGATCTCTATAATTATAACCCCACGAGTTTTTTCAGTTTCATCTCTGATGGACAGTGTATATGCATAGGAAAATTTGTCTCCAACTACAAATATTTTAGTGAGAAACAAACACTTGATCACTTTGGAAAACTCTTATATTAAGAATTTTAGAAAAATAATCTGAGTAGTTCAACATACCGGGTGGCTACGGAAGTATTGCCTACGGAATATCTCAGTTATTGTATGAAGTAGGTTTGTGAAATTTGAATCGTCGATATAATGACACAAGAGCTACATTTTGAGCTTATTGACATGTCGAAGTTAACTTCCGGTCTGACCGGAAGTAACACCAACTTTCTTATTTTAAATTGACACCCTGTTTTTTTTTTTTTCGCTTTATTCAGCATTCAATTCCCTTTTTAATGACATATCACAAGTTGGTATCTAACCAGAAACTAGATCAGAAAAAAAATTATTATTGAAATTCACCGCGAGTAGGCCGTGGAAGCAAAATGAAAGCCAAAAATTGAAAAGTTGGCTATGAAAACCATACGTCACTTGATAACAGTTGCTACTACTGTGATATTTTATTTTCATTCGTCGGCGTTATAAAAAGCCGCCAAAAAAAATATTGGAAAAATTGGGAAAAAACAATACTCTTTAGGTCCATAACTTAAATAGGAACATACAACTTTTTCTTGCCTGTACTATTCAGCATAACCATTCCTTTCTAATGATATAATAGAAAGTCATTTTTTGGTTTTCATTTTGCTTCCACGGCCTACTCGGTGAATTTAAATAATAATTTTTTTCTGATCTAGTTTCTGGTTAGGCACCAACTTGTGATATGTTATTAGAAAGGGAATTGAATGCTAAATAAAGCGAGAAGAAAAAAAAATAGGGTTTCCATTTAAAATAAGAAAGTTGATGTTACTTTCGGTCAGACCGGAAGTTAACTTCGACATGTCAATATGCTCAAATTCTAGCTCTTATGTCATTATATGGACGCTCCAAATTTCACAACCCTACTTCATACAATAACTGAGATATTCCGTAGGCAATACTTCCGTAGCCACCCGGTATATACATTGTAAAACGTACCAGTTCATCTCATTTTTGTTGGAACTGCCAGGTTAGGTTTGAATTTCCACCCTTTTTTTTTTTGGTATTTACACGATCTTTATTCAGTTCATCATGAACAAGGAATATGATACAGCTGAGTATTGAAAAATTATAATCTGAGGATTTGCTATGAAAATATTGAATTCCACTAGATTAACTGAAAACAAATAGAATATTTTTGTTGAAAATGTAGGTATAATATGTCTGTTCGATTACTATATGCCTTTATTATTATAGATAAATTATTATTATTTTAATACATATTTTTTTGTTTCAGTGCCAGTTGTATGAGCTTGCAGTAAGTAGAAATCATATAATAAATCATAATATTCATAGGTACTTGCAAAAATACTTACCTAACATTTGATAATCGAGAATTTAGGATCTTTCGACGTAATAACATATCAATTCGATATCGGAATTGAGATTTGGTGCAGATGATCATGACTTACCATGAATAGCATGACCTTGGAATAACAGATAAAAAAATTATTATCGATAAATCCAAAATGATGGTATCGCAGTTACCGAAAACACTCATGTACTTTAGTAAGACGTAATCGGTTTTGATTTGTTTACAAGGTATCAAATAGGTAACAAATATTTTTCAGCATTTTTAAACCTAATGCATTCAGATATCTCAATCATCATCTGATTATATTATAATGATGATATTCCAATTTCAATCAATAATTGATCACAATGATAATCGTCTACAAGAGTGCCCACATTAAGAGTCCATCAGGAGAAATATATTTGGCAAGAGCACGAATAAAGTCAATAACATAGATGCATACATTTTTTGATGGTATATCTAGTACTGACGTCATAGTCCCTTTCCTGTGTGGCCAGGAAGTTGATACAATCTAACTGAACGAATGGTATATACCTACTCGCCATTTTACTGACCTTCAAATTCTCATAACATCACTCTGATATCTGAATATGTCATAATATGTCTACATTTTATAAGGAAACAAGAACAACTGAGTTACAAACGGTCTTGTTCAGTTTATCCATCACATTGTTGAAATCGGTTGAATAAATTTTAAAATAACCCAGATATGCCTGGAAATATTTGGCTCAAATTTTGATTTTCGTTTCGTAAGACTAATTCAGTATTTGGAAAGGAGTAACAGCAATATTAAAAAAGTAATGTTAAAGCTCGAGTATCCAAGAAGACGGTGTCCTTTTAAAAGGACAGTATAGGTAAATGAGAGACGTTTCCTTGAATGAGAGTTTTTTTATTTCAATATCCCAAATATAATCTAAGAGGATATAAAAACCATTCTGGACAAATAATCGAATGAAAAAACAAGTAAAGGTGGATTCATGTAGCATCATGAAATTGTTTATGTAGACATCTGATAATTATCAATTAACAAGTAACAAGTAAGAAGTTGGCCAACTTTTAACTTTCTTACTAAAAAAAAAATCCACCTCAACTCAGAGAGCAAAGTTGTACTTTTCGCATTTGGTGAGAACTTTTTTATGAGAATATCGGAATCTAGTTTCATTCTCCTGCGTTACCATCGAATGATCGTAACGGCAATCTACGTTTTTTAATGGAGAGGGTTTTGAACGTTTGGAAAATTCTATCTCCAAAATCGAAATGGCTTCTCTTTTGCGAAAAGAAGAATGATCAAGAGATCCGCCTTGCATCTTATGCATTTTCAACGCATATATTTTCTTTATCTCTTGAAGCGCATGAAAGGATATTCCTATAATGTTCGAAGAACATCGTGCGTTCCTGGGAGCATAGGGAGAATAGGAACGATTAACATAACCCAGAGGAGGGTAACTTTATTGCTGCTGCCTAGCTGCATATGGTGGACTTGATGGGAATGGTGGTACCAGACATTGTTATATCAGGCATACTGAGTTTCGCCTTTTTAGAGAAAATACAGGCTTGAGTTCTGGTGGCGTTGCATTCAGCTAGGTTGTTGGTTCCCCAGGCTGTAATTTCAGCAAGATCGCCATTGACAGAGTCGACCCGCCTTCGTCGTAAGTTCTTAGTTGCCTGGAAAGAAATGGGAATTATAGAATGGAACGCAATATGGAGACTACTATCGTCTGCAAAGCTGTGGATAGGGCAGATGGTAGCTCTCAACATATCATTGATATGAAGTAGGAACAATGATGGTGCCAAAATAGATCCATGTGTAACGGCGGAATTTTCCGAAATCGATTTTGGTATATGAATCTATTCAAGAAGCCATTTTTCTTAGGGGCACTTAGCTCCGTCACCTCATTCAGTGACGTGCCATATTAGGGGTACTTTATAACTTTTTCTTCCTCATCTCTATACGCCACTGGTAACAATTGGATCATTTTTGATCTCCTGAATTTCAATGGTGTCAGAGCATTATTGAGTGTAGCGTCACCCTCCAGGCGAATGGCTTTTCTCTGGATTGAATCTAAGAGCATCGGCGTGGACTTTGTGGAAATGATGGTACCAGGCATTGTTGCTATACCAGACATGCTGGGTTCATCTCCTGTAGGGAAAATTCAGGGTTGAGTTGTGGTGTAGTTGCAGAGTTGCATTCAACTGGTTTCCCACAGTGTAATTTCAGCAAGATTTTCATTGATAGCGCTGACCTGCCTTGTTCGTAAGTTCTTAGTTTCCTGGAAAGAAATCGAAATTCTGAACGAGAACGCAGTAAATGGAGAGTATATACTTCCATCTGCAAATAGGTACTTCGATACGAAGTTTCATCGTTGTAACTTCTACAGAAGAAAGATCTATCTGAGGCAACCAAAAATTGAGGTTAATTCGAGGAAATATATAAAACAATTTTTATTGTCATATCAATGTTTCATTCCATTTCGCCAAAATCGGTATATTACCTATTATAAACACTTCATCAAGCATCAGTATATCGCATTGCAGTAGTGGTGCCCGCGTGAGTCTCGTTTTCGAGAGTCTCGCATGGTCTCGTCTCGTTTTAGAGACAAGACTCGAAACAAGACTCGGACAAGACGGGACGAGGCTTTTATTGGTCTCGTCTCGAGTCTCGTGCAAGGTTTCTCGTGTCGCGTGCGAGAGTCTCGCAGCTAAAAATTTCTGCGTGCCGACTGCAGACTTGAGAATTTCATTCATAATACAACATATACTATTTAGAAAGAATTCAGACTATTTAGCACAGATAGACAAAACATTCCATTCATAAATACTTGATCTCTTATGGCGACAGGAAATAAAGGCAATTCTGCAATAACGACAGTTCGCAAATCAAATGACTCCCTGAAAATCTATAAATAAGTCATTCTGTACTAAATAGTCTAAGATAAAGAATAACTTTGTTTTGACGGGAGTATGGATGCAGGAGCTTCAAAATTATTATTCTGTGTAATAGAAACACAGATATATTGCAATGGTGGAAAATGCATGCTTCTGAATTTTCCATTCTAAGATTGATGGCACGAGATCTCTTAAGCATACCGGCTACTTCAGTCCCGGTTTTTATTTCTTGTTTAGATGTATGATGCAAGTATGTACCTATTAGGTACTTACTTTTCAATGAATAATGTTATTTTTGTTGTAATTTTGTCTTCCTACTCCTACATTATACCTAGAAAGAAGGTGAAGGTGAATATTTCGTACTAGACTGGAACAAGATTATGCATGACGAAATTGCGATACATTTGCGAGACTCTCGTGCGAGACGCGAGACAAGACGAGACTGGAGGCTGCGAGACGAGACTCGAGACAAGACTTCATATTTCATCGGCGAGACGAGACGAGAGTACAAGAAAGTCTCGTCTCGCTGGTCTCGTGTGAATCACTACATTGCAGTCTTTGAAGTGTGTGTCTGTCATTCTATTTGTGCTATAATCGACAGCTGCTCATAAATCGAGACGATTTTCTAAGGTACTGTCTAGTGGTGTGTATAAAATAGTATATTACATAACAAGAGTTGTAAAACGCATATTACGCACGAAGTGGAGAGAGTTACACACGATGCCGCATAGCGGCGAGTGTGTAACTCCACAAGTGCGTAATTGCTTTACAACTCGAGAATTGTACTATACTTTTTCTATGACTACACTATATTTTCTTCCGGATAGTGAAGATATTGTATAAAGGCACAAATGACGAATACCAATATAAAACGTCTTCCGTCACAATTCTTGTGTTTGTTTATTGATACATTGCGTACTGAGACATTTTCCTCAATTCGAACTGAAATGGAGCAATTTTTCATATCTAAACAGCTTTATTAATAGGTAGCCAAAAACACATTGTATAAAAATATAAAATTAACATTCATTTTGGTTATTTATTTTCAACAGTGCCGCACGAGAGATTCTGTAATCGTTATTGAAAATAATAAAAAAAAGTTCTCCAACTCCGCTCTGAACCATCGACCTTTGGGTTCGGAGCCCGCGCTTCCAACAACTGAGCTATTACCATTTCTCCGAATTGGAAGATATTTTATAAATATAATATCAAAGATGGATCTTTTTTAATAATTCCTGTTATTTAAAGAAAAAGGCATTCATCAATTCAATGTTGAGTATGTATGCTATTTGAAAAATTACCTTCAACAGGAGCATTCTGCAGAAAGTAATTGATCTGTTCAGCATTAAGTATTTTTGATTTTTTATTTCGGAATCCATCCTTCCCTTTTTAGGAAATGGGATATTATGTTGCTATATTAATATTGTGATTGATATTTAGTATTGATTGTAATGTAACATGGAATATACCTATCGTCCAGAGTGATGATGATTTCATGAAATTTGGTAATTCTGGAAAATATACTAAAAGGATATTTTCCGAAAATGACACGGTATTATTTCTAATTCTCAAGTCCAGGAATTTTTTATGTGCTATTTCGTATCATTTACGAGACTATCATTGCGGGTAGCAACTCATTTTTTACCATTCTAGCTTTTTCCAACATCTCTGGTGGTGTTGAAATAATCTGCTCATCGTCATCGCTTGACATCATATTTTTAAACTGAAATTGAGGATTCTCAATAGAAAATAATCATATTTTCAAAAAATATAACTTTCCTGATGATGCTCTCGGTTTCGGTGGATAGCTCGATTGATTGATAAAAAGATAAGTACCTACCCACCTAGCTAGTGACATTAATGAAATTGTTAATTGTTATTGACACATCGCCTAAGCAACAAAACAAAGTCATCTATCAACATACCTATGAAAACCGTGCGATCGCTCTCTTTACGCACACGTGTGTAAGGAGAAGCTTACTGCCATTGTTTTGTGTACAATTTCCATCACTTACAGTAGTAGTCGTAGGAAAAACAGTTTACTTGTGTTTTCAAAATGGTGAACCTCAACTTCAGTTTTATTGATTTGTGGTTGGCCAAGAGACATTTTGCTGTAGAACTTCCAATGACGAAAGTTTGTATCTATTCATTCCATGTCTTTCTTCAATCTTCAAATCACCTTATCGATTATATAATTTCCTCATGATTCATCAAACGAGAATTTTGAAAATTTCCCTTGGATAACTTACATCCTATATGATATATTGCGTTCAAATTTCTAGACTCGTCACTGTTTCGGAAAAAAATTGCCTATTAGTCGTTCTTGAAATTTTCACCCCTTCAACAAACGAAAGTTGGCCTTGAAAATCAGAATATTTCAGATTTGTCAACATTTGCGTGTAGAGATCGTTGAGTACTATAATTATGGAATTTTTATTTTTGAAAATCGGTGGACGGGTTCCAAATTAGGAGGGTGTTGCGGGTTGAAATCGGACACACTGTATATGACAGTTATTGATGAGGTGTTCCCCATGGAATGTAAAATACAGCCTCTATTGAAATCTTGGAAATCTTGAAGCTATTCAATCTTCAGTATGTTTCGTTTTCGATTGTCTACTGAGTACACGGTAGTTATCCTCAATAATGGTTGATAACAAACATGCGTCGTTTAACAATAATTGTATATCATTGTTTCCTGTAATTAAAATAGTCTACAATTGACGTAATGGATTTGGGAACTATCGCGTTTTTGAGTACGTATGCACAAAATAATACAGGTCGATTGGAAAATATTGGTGAAAAATTCTGGAGGATATTCTCGATTTTAATAATGAGAAGAACAAATTTGAGTACTTGGTGAACACCCTGTATTTCTGTTGAAGGTATCTATATGTTTTTACGATATACACTTTCCACAAGAAGTTATATGAATTGGCGTAAAATATTATATACTGTCTCATATAGTACGAAAAATGTGTTTTCAATAAATGATGCCAATTTTCTCTGTGAATAATGACTGCCCTATTATTATAATCACAAGTCGATTGGAGTACGCATACATTATGTTAAACTGAGAAAATTTGAAATGAAAATGATGTCTACAAGAAGGTATATAAATACCTGAATATCTAAATAACGTTAATACCTCATCATCTACAATTTGACTGGTTCTTGGAAAACCTGTATGCGCGAATTTATATCATGAAATTGGAATCAATATCTAAGTGAAATCTCATAAGTAGGATTGACAAGTAATAATTTTCGAGTATCGAGTGATTTGTATATACCAACTACTGCATTGAAATCATTGAATCCCAATTCTGAAACTATTTTTCAGTATTCAAGAAAATGCCAGGGCCATCTTAGAAGAACAAAAACGTGATGAAAAATTCAATGAAATTATCGTTAGCTGTAAATCTCTTAGTAACTACGATGGGAGGACATTCAGGACGTTATTACCACAGGTAAATGACATTTATCGCATAAATGAATATGAATTAAGCATTATAGTGAGTACCTACCTCTGAAGTAGAAATATGTATATGTTATTGGATAACACACTAAACCTTGATCATTTGCCGTATATTATTATGTATGATCAAGATTTTCATAACATCACGATAGATATGTCTATACATTTGCTGGTGTATTGACTTCCTCTTATACTGGGTGATTCATTTTGTTTTCCGAAAAAAATAAGGTACACCAACCAAATGTTCTCACTAAATGCAACAGTAGTTTTTTTTATATCTTCACCCAGGCAACCAGATGACGAATGATCACGTCACTGTGACGTCCCTAATTGGTGATTTTTCGTCAGGGACGCCACACACCAATTTATGACGTCACTATGACGTACCTCTATGACGTGATGATCACGTCATCATCTCGACGTCGAGTGAACGTCACTTTACATCATCATGTGAAACCATTTATTGTGACGTGCCTATATATTATACAGGATGGAAATTTTCAGTGTCGAAAAGTTTTCAGAAAAAATCGTTTTTTCATTAATTTTACACACATATTGGTAATTCCATATATACCTACGCTTCTACCGTCGATAGATGTATAACTCATTAAAACACATCAACATGCAAGTTTTATTGGAATTATATATATACCCAAAAAGTAAGAGGAAATTTTTTTAAACTTTGACATCCTGTATATCTCGGAAACCAATAATGCTATATAAATGTATGTATCCAAATAATAATAAAGGTATACCTATATTAAAACCGTCTCTTTTATGACGTTGCAGTGACGTATCTATGACGTCTAAATACCACGTCGGTGTGACGTACCAATTTGGCGAGTTTCGTTCAGAAAATTTTTCAATAATTTGCGATTTTGATTCTTGTTGTTGACAAATAATGCATGAGTATATGTAACTCAACAAAGTGAAGCTAAATTTGCCAACATCCTTTTCATTGCTATAAAACTATTCTTGGTTTGCTTACATCTCGCCGACACAAACTTTATGATTTTTTATACAAATACAAGTAACTGATGTCATTCTGATGGAGATGCGTACTGAGGGATAGCGCTGCTGAATAGACGATTGAATGAACATGACACCTGAGGGTCCACCAAGCTGAGTGAACAATGCGTAATCAATATTATATGTCAAAGGTCAATGGTGATTATCACACCATGTTCGTTTTTACGTGTCATCATCAAATTTCATTATTAAAGATTTTTAGGAATTTCTCTCCTCGCTTCTATCAAATAAAAATATAAGTATCATTTCAATATACCCGGGTAGTGTAGTAAAAAATATCAAATTTCAACATAAATTTATCACGAATCTGCTTCCGTGGGGAAGACTGGATTCAACTTCCTTCAATCAGCTCAATCGCAAAATTTCTTGAAAAATTCTGATTTGAAATAAAATCAAACCAACATGAGTTTTCGTAACAAAATAATTTTTTTAGGAATATATCAGACAAACTTTGATAAGCGGCAACATTGTAAACACATATGTAGGAAATTATTTGTGGTTAAAACAATTTATTCTTGAGTAGGTATATCCTTCTGGGGTGGAGTATAGTGAATATTTTCATGAATACGATTGTGGATGTGATTGTGTATGTTATAATTTGAGAATAATAAAGTTATTTGTTTCAAGAATTCAAATGTCTATCAGAAACCTCTCCGATTTCCAACATTTGTGTTGACAATGTCGATACTCAGAGTTTGTCTGAATTTTTTATAGAAAACAGTAAGTATTATACGAAAATAGATGATGTTATATCTTTGTTGCCGATCAAAATTCTACCATGAAATTGTTCCATCAACCTAATAGAAGGAGTGTTGTAGTCGAAGTTTGTTGAAAAAGAAAATTGAATAAAAAATAGAAGGGGTCAAAAATTGGAATTATATTTCACAAATTATTTGTGTAAACATAGATCTTTTGATGATCTTACTACTGGAACAAAATAGTATGTATCAATCGGTTGCAAACTGTAAATTTTATAAATGTCCTTCAGTTTTGAATGGGTCACACTTTATATAACCCCCAAATTTGAATCGCTCCAATTCTACCTAAACTTATTTTTCTATCCTAGGTACCCACGACGGTCTACGAGCACGATATAGGAATTACATTTTGTGCAATCCAAAAAATTAAAAAAAAACTTCAACATTTTGACTCTCACTGTATTTTTATGCATGATATTTTGCCGGTCTACCCTGTAGATCGACAAATGGTTTCGAATAGTTGGCAATTACAGGAAATTAGCATCTGTTTCAAATGAACTATGTTTATTCGTTACGCAACGTATGACCATTGGGAAACTGATTAATACGGTTCTCGTATGAGAGCAAATTATTATTGGACTTTGTATGTACAGGGTCATTCCGTATATCCATGGAAAAATCATGTACGAGGCATCGCAAAAATTGCTTCACAGTAACTCGGATCTTTATTCCGAGCCAAAAGCTATAGGTCTACTTTATATTTCAACAATCTCTCATGATCTACAAAGCACATATACGGCCAGCTTTAGAATACTGTTCTCACATATGGGGTTCAGTTCCCAAAAATACGCCGATGCTCAGCGAAGAGCCATTCGTCAATAGCAATATCAGTCAGACGCACACTCGACAGGCCCATCAGTCAGCACATCCTGAAATATATCGAACAACACTCTACCAAAACTCGTTCGTCTATAGAACGGCAAAATTTTGGAATTCTTTGCCAATGGAAATATTCCCAAGAACTTATAACCTCCAAAAGTTCAAGAAAAAGTTAAACACCTACCTCCTCCCCCTATTCCCCATAGGTACGCACGATGTTTCACGAATATTATAGGAATTTCCTTCCGTGCGCTCCAACGGTGAAACAAAATTATTCGAATTTGTATTTTTACATCTCAATGATAATTACTTTAGAAGCTTGTTGAAATGACCCTGTATGTGATAACATAATATATGGATATGTGATTACACAACCGTGAAATTGGCACATCAGAGGTTCGCTAGTCTTTTAAAATGTTCTCTCTCAATCTACATAAAAAAATTGAAAGTCATTTCATAGCATGGTGACTATCTAACTTGCTTAACTCTTGAAACGAAAAATTGAATTTTTTTTTGATGACCACACCCTATCTATATCTATGAATATATTGATCATGCATCATTTGAAGATTTTTTACCAACGTCTAAAACAATACAAAAACACTCAGGCAACAAAAATTATCCTATGAAAATATTCATATATCTGTAATGGGCGTGACTATTCCACTCACCATGAAATTCTCACATGATCTGATCGACGAATTGCACGCCGAAGACAACTTGTATCATCATAATCAATATCAGGATTCGAAGGAAGAGTAAATCTCAAAATCATCTCCACGACATTTAATAGTTGAAAGTTGAACATAGTTATGTTGCAAATGGAAGGGACGTTTCGGGCTTATAATAAGCCCATCATCAGCCGAGGTTTATAACGTACTACAATAGTCTAAACTTATAACAGGAATATGGTAATAGATAATATTACTTACATGAGGATGAAAATTTGTTCTTCTAAGTTGTGAAATTTTATTAAATTAAATGGTGAACATGGTGAATTATTATAATATAAAACAAGTATTTTATATTTATTTCAAGAGGGGTCTGTACCCTCTAAGAACCAAAAGATTGAAAAACCCACATCAGTAGGACTTGAGTGCACTAGAGGTTAGCTGTCACTGAAAAATCAAGAAATCACAAGATCAAACGTCAAACTTCCGGATGAAAAGATGTCAACAGGACAGATGACAGGTGATATGGTGCTATTGAACTTTTATTTGAACAGACATAAGATATGATCAAAACTGGTTGAGTGACAGCTAACCTCTAGTGCACTCAAGTCCTATTCATGTGGGTTTTTCTAAATTTTGTTAACCTTTTGGTTTTTTACTTAATGAAAACCTCCTGAGGGTATCTTAGAGGGTACAAACCCCTCTTCAAATGAAATAGCTTAACATTTTACCATGTTTACCATTTATAAGATTTCACAACTTTGAAGAACATTTTTTCATCCTTAAGTAAATAATATTATCTATTAACATATTCCTGTCACAAGTTCAGACTATTGTAGGACGGTATAAACCTTGGCTGATGATGGGCTTATCATAAGCCCGAAACATCCCAGGCAGCCAGATGACGGTTCAGTGACGTCTTTTCCCGCCAGTTGAATGATCAAGGTGACGTCAGGAGTTGTCGTCGTATAACGTGATATATGACGTGAATAAGTCATAGCCCAATGATGTCATATTACTCACGTTTATTGACGTCATTCATTCACCAAACTCTGACGTCGGACTGACGTCAAATCTGGTGATGACACGTAAAAAAGTTTCTTTGACCATGGTTTGATAATCACCACTGACCTCTGATGAGATATAATATTGATTATGCATTGTTGAGTCTGCTTGGTGGTCTCTACAGTGTCATGCCCATTCAATTGTTTATTCAGCAGCGCTATCCCTACGCATCTCCATCAGAATGAAATCAGTTAATCGTATTTGTATCCAAATTTATGTAGTTTGCGTCGGCGAGATGTAAGCAAACCAAGCATAGTTTGATAGCAATGAAAAGGATGTTGCCGAATTTAGCTTCACTTGAGTAACGTATATTCATGTATTATTTGTCACCCAACAAACATCTGAATAGCAAATTATTGGAAAAATGTCTGAATGACGAAGCTCACCAAATCGGTACGTCACACCGACGTGATTTCAGACGTCATAGATACGTCACTGCAACGTCATAAAAGTGACGGTTTCAATATAGGTACACCTTTCTTATAATTTGTATCATATACATATATATATAGCATGATTGGTTTCCGAGATATACAGGGTGTCAAAAAAATGTTCTCTCACTTTTTGGGTATATATGGTTCCAATAAAACTTGTGTGTGTATGTTGATTAGTTTTCATGAGTTATATTACTATCGACGTTGGAAGCGTATATATAAAATTACCAATAAGACGTACATGATTCAATATATGTGTGTAAAATTAATGAAAAACGTTATCTGAAAACTTTTCGACACTGAAAATACCCATCCTGTATGTATAGTTACGTCACAAACCTAACGGTTCCACATAATAATGTAAGTATACATGGTTTAGATATGGTCTGGGAATCATGGACGTCGTATCTGCAATGTCATAAAACTGACGTCTTAGTTTAACCTTTCAAGTGACGTTCACTCGAAGTAGAGATGATGACGTGATTATCACGTCATAGAAAGTACGTCATAGTGACGTCATAAACTGGTGTGTGACGTCTATGACGAAAATTCACCAATCAGGGACGTCACAGTGACGTAATCATTCGTCATCTGGTTGCCTGGGATGTCCCTTCCATTAGCGACATAACTATGTTCAACTATTAAATGTCGTGGAGATGATTTTGAGATTTACTCTTCCTTCAAACACTACCACTCCACTTTGAGCAATATGAACTTCTGCACACGTTTAATATTAGGATGTTTTGAATATCCGGCTGCAACGTTGAAGGTGATAGAGTATTCTGTGGTGATAGTTCATACCCCTTATCTCGACAAAATCATTCAAACTGCCTCCGAATTGATAATCTGGTTTATTTGGTGTTTTTTGAGCGGCGTTGTCTATTGCAGAATTCATTACTTGAGTAATTGTACTTACAAAACTATCGTTAACGCTCATTTGAAATCAAAAACAACACTTTGTAACAAATGTAGGGTATAGCGTGCAGCTGAGATGCGTTTACGTTGGGTCAGGTTCGCAGCAGGTAGCGGTCCAGAATGCTATCTGGGACAGCCCTACACTGGTGAGAGCCAACAAGCTCGAAACCGGTCTGTAGGTAGTCACGCGTTCCTGAACCACTTGGGCGCAGCTTGGCGTTCAAGGAAACACTTACCTACTATTTCATTCGTCTATACTAATCATTGCATAGATTTTGGGTGGATGTTCTGCGTGGCATATAGCCAGGAAAGTAGTTGTTTTTCTCTCTTTATCTACCATTTTCGTCCATTTTATGAACTATTGTGATAGTATAATAGGGTTGTTTTCACCATGTCACGATATATTAGATGGTTAGTCCATCCATATCGATTTAATAGGAGTTAGCTTGGCTTGCGAGAGGTGATATTCAAATAGGCACTAAAAGTTCAGGGGTAGCTGAAAGTACGAGACTATATTCGAACATTACTATATCTATTGGAGCATGGAACATTATGGGTAGCAATGACAAATATGAATAAACAATAATGAATATAAAGACCTAATAACAACTTACATTATAATGACAATTATGACGAGCTCTCGTCAAGTCAAGAATAGCCCCAGACAAGACTAACTTCAGAACCCTCACATCCATCATTTATAGACATCATTTTATTAGATTTGCACGTTTCTCATGAGAGTTCCTTGGTCAGTTTTCATAGTTCAATGTCAACGGATGATTTGATTAACTTCAAGTTTATAAAACCCTCATGGCTCGAAATTACTAATATACTGTATGTTCCACTCGTGACAATAATGACTTCAAGTTCCTCTCTCTTTGTGAAAAAAATAATAGTATAGGTTTCAAAAATGTACTGATTTGAATTGTATTCAATTTGAAACGCATTCCACCGCATGGAGGTCATTGGTTTCTGGCTATACCATGGTGCCAACTCGTTATCGGCTTCTCGTTGGTTTTGAGAGTTGTAAATTGACTTTGATATTTCCAGATCACAGCAGCTTTTATAGCAGCCGCTTACCACATAGCAGTAGGAATAGCTTTATCTTTCTCAGGAATTCTGATACCCGCCTTAGATCGAAACGTCACCAACGCTACTGATGATGGAGAGCTTTATGCGACCAAAGCGGAATGTTCATGGATAGGTGAGACAATTTTCTTTTCATCAACTACTACTATTAATCCAGTCGGCAAATACTTTTGGCTACGAAGAATTCAGAAGTAATTTTATTATGGCCATTTTTGTCTGCTTGCTTCGAATTGACATTTTTTAGTGTACAAAATATCTCAAAATATCTAAAACAGAAGAGGAACGGGCCCTTGATAGATGTATAGCTGAACGAGAAAACATATTTCGCATGATCCTGCCAAATTGAATAACTTCAGTATACGGTATAGCACATTTGTCAGAACGGGTCAGGAATTCAATGAAATCGGTCAGTAAATTGTTGAGCTCAAACAATTGATTAATCCTAATGAACCAGAGTTAGTTTTCTTGATGGTATTACCACCGCTTCAAACAAAATTATCTACACAACTAAAATAGATCTTGTGTTCATATGCCTAAAATTTGTTCATGTATAGGATGAATAGGATGTGGAAAATTTTTGGCAGACAAAAAAACTCGTGGTTAGTTATGGGACTAGACAATTTAAATTACTTGAAAGCAAATACATTAAAGTCGATCATTGATGGCAAACAATTTGTATTTTACAATGGAATAATTTCATAGAATTCATAACCAAATGAGTTGAAAAATACACATAATGATGCAAGTAGATTCGAAATGAATCATAAACAATATTAACTGGTCAGGCCAATTTGATTGAAAAATATGTGGCATGATTTGATTACTCAGAATTGGAATGTAAGAACTTTCATCCTAACGAAAAGTCTGATTTTGTTTTCACTGATGATTGTTTTTATACACAGGGTAGTCCCAGAATAAGGTTAGTATACTCCAGGAGATTATTCTGCAGATGAAAATAAGAACAAATGTACTGATGTAATGTAAAGATCAATCGTAAGGGAACATGTTTGGGCTCATATAAGCCCATCATAAGCCAATAAGAAGTATAATAGTTCTAGAAAAATCGGTATTGACTTAAGATATAGATGCAATAATTACTTAGTACTCAGATGGAAATGAAAAGAAGTAGACATACAAATAGTATAGTTCATAACAGGGCAAACAGGGAAATATGCTCCATGATCTGTAAAATAATCGGTTTAAGAAAAAGTATGGAACAAAGTGGAAAACCTTCTGTCTCTGTAAAATGAACGTAATACGAACGTTGTTCTGGGACACCTTCTATTATTTTGGTGATTCTAAGACGAAGAACATTGCAACTCGAGTTCATCGATTTCTAAAAAAATGAGCGCTCGAACATCTGTATGGAACAAATAGTCCAGGAAATAAAATTAATTGATACGAGATTGGCACATTCAGTCCATAACACATTGCCAATAAGAACGTGTATCTCCTGGACTATTTGTTCGATTCGATATTCGAGCGCTCATTTTTTTAGAAATCAATGATCTAGAATTGCATCGGTTCTGATTGATAGAATTAACATTTTTCCATTTGCCAGCGGTTTTTGTAAAACACAAATGTTTGAAATAATCCATCATTTTGTTTTTTTAATTATGAAATTCTCAAATGTTTCACTGTGTAATACAGCTTTTTATTTTCGGAATGGCTTTGAGAAATCTGAAATCGTATGAAATTTGATAAAGCCAGAAACGAGATCAGCACATTGACTCCATAACAAACTCCCAAAAAGTGAGTTTATCTCCTGGACTATTTGTTCGATTTCGATGTTCGAGTACTCATTCTCTTTCGAAATGAATAGTGTGCCATAACATCGGTACAGGTAGAAAAAAATCTAATTTTCCTATTCGCCAGCGGTTTTTGTGAATAACAAATGTTTGAGATACTCCACCATTTTGTTTCTTCCAATTATGGAATTTTCAAATATTGCACTATATACTATAGCCCTTTAGCTACAAAATGACGCCAAGAAATTCAAATTCGGTTGAAAAATGATGAAACCACGAGGAAAATAAAAACTTCTTTTTTTGTGACCTGACCACCCGATATATTCTGGGATGTTTCATTTAGATAGGTTCTAAGTGCCATGTTGTGTTTGTTTATATATCGGCTGACTTATTATGGGGTTTATATAGAAAATATATAAGGAATAACAAAAGGAACGTTCATTGAGAAACATAGAAATTACGGAGAGGAATTGGTCCTAAACATCCACTAAATCAAGAGGTGAGACAATCCAATACATTCCTCTTGATGAAGGAAACTTTCATGGCGTAGAGCGTAGAGCTATTGAAAGAAATCAATATTGTGAAGAAATATCTTACTTTGATTACTTTGAATATTTTGATTCGGGAAAACAAAATATCAGGGGACAAAAAATCCGTATGGTCCATGATTCCTCACCTGGAAAATCCCGGTCATAAATCATTATATAAAAAACGTATTGGCCAACAAGAGGAAAACTCAGTACCAAGTTCAGCTCTACTATAATTGGTTCGTATAACCTCCAAACAAGATGAAACTTATGCCTCAACATTATTGTTTTTCACTTATAACCCTAAAGTGTCACTCAATTTCGTAGTTACTCCCTTTCAGTTCAAGATCATCAAATGATCTTATTTTCTTATGATTGGATAAGAATTATCGATTTATGTCCTATGGAATATCAATACCGATAGTTTAAAAATATTGTGATCCATTCCAAAAGTGGAAAATGAAGTATAGCGATTTTTTTCCTTGGATATCTCCGATTCCTTTATTTGGCACTTAGTTCCGTTGGTACTTCCACTCTTCAATTCATGAAATAACCTCAATTTTTTCTCAGCTAGTGTAGTGGTACTGGTGGTACCACTCGGTGCCATCACCGGAGGCTTCACCATGGACTATCTGGGCAGATTGAACACCATCAAACTGGCTACCATACCAACTGTCATGGGATGGAGTATGATAGCTCTCGCCCAAAGTGTGCCCATGATGATAGGTGGGCGGTTCTTAGTTGGAATTGCAACTTGTAAGTAACTGTGTGAATTATACAGGGTATGTCACGACGAGCTTACATTTATCTCTATATCGAGAATCAGTCTGAAAATATGCATGCTCATATTTCAGAATACGCTTTCTTGATTTGAAATATTTTCAGCAATGCCGCTTTTATCAAAAAGTAGCAGCAACTTTGTTATTCCAAACGAAATACCTTGTATGTTATTTATTGCATTCTTAGATTCTCATTGAAGAGCTGATTTCATTGATACAGGTCAATCGGAAATGATTACATAGATATAGGGTGTTCAAAATTGAGATTTTTCAACTTTAGGATTTGTTAGCCGTTTTGATCGATAATGAATAGTATCGACACAAAAAAGTTGAGAAATCTCGATTCTGAACACCCTATATCTCTGCCTATCATTTTCGATAGACCTCAAGTATGATAATTAAATGAAATCAGCTGTCTAAGGAGAATCTGAATATGCGATAAAATACGAAGAGTGTTCCATTTGAAATATCAATATTGCTACTAGTGTAAGCTCTTCGTGACATACCCTGTATTGTATATATCTACAGGGTGACTAAAAAATCTGGGTACCGAGCTTACTGAAGTGATAGTTCATTGAAAAATAAGTAGGTATAGTTCGATAAATAAAATAATGGTCCAGAATGTATATTGAGGGAGATATAAGGTAGATTACCCAAATTAGGACACGTTGAGGTATAGGAAGGTAGTACTTGAAATTACTCAGAAATGTTTTATTCATGAATATTCCCAGAAATATTGCACATCTATAGTAACAGATACATTTTCGGCATGATTCTTATAACGATTTGAAGTCATAAAAATAGTTATTTGTTTTACTAGGCATATAATTCAGCCAAGGCAATGATTCTGCTTATCTGCCGTATGAAACATATTATAATTTTTTCTCCAAATTCGTGATGAATATTTCACCTAGAAATATCACGGAGTTCACAATCATCCACTATGAGAATTACAACTAATTTCGGTCAATGTGCCGCCTTTTTTACTGCGCGAAATGAAGTGAAAGAAGTGTGTGTATCACTTAAATTTAGAGTGCAGAATATCTATATATAAATATAGAAGGCATGGCTTCTTCAATGTTGTCATTTTGTGAGCACATTATCTTGATTTATTCATTATGATAAAACTGAAATTGTTTTTCCAAATAACTTCTGAACCGTAAAAGCCACCAGATTGAAATTTTCTGCCTTGATGTAGATAGAACACATTTTTGTTATACACTTCGATATATTCTGACAACAACAATAACAATGTTCAGTAAGAAAAGTCAAAATTAAAAATGAAATCGATCATGCATGGCCTCCTGAAAGGAATATTGTTACCGATTCATTAATCTGTTAATATCATGTGACTACAAAATCTCAAAAATAATCTCGAGAACGGTTACAATTTCCATATTTTGATAGAAGTACAGTTTTTGTGTTATCTTGTTCACTCTATCAAATGCTTCGATTTTTCTACTGAAAAGAATACGAAGAAAAAAGTTGTCTTCAAAAAATCATAACCCACCCTCCAAAGACACCCTTTATGTATCAGAAAGATAGAAGTTCATCAACAGAATGTATATATTATCAACATAACGTTTATGCAGAGAAAGTCAACCCGGTTGCTTCCACCGTTTAGAAGTTATGCGGGAAAATCATTTCAATGTTATCTACTTTGGAAGGATATATCTCCCTCAATATAATTTCGGGCCATCAGTTTATTCATCAAACTATACTAATTTTTCATTATACCATCACCGCCAGAAGGCTCGGTACACATTTTTGACTCACCCTGTATATACCGGTTGTTTCAAAAGAAGGTGACCCCCTTGCTAGGGTGGGTAGAACACTGCTAAAAACCTAGGTTTGCTCAGTAAAATAATGTCGTGACGGCATCCTTTTTCAAGATACGGGTAGTGATTCACACGAGACCAACGAGACGAGACTTTCATAAAGTCTCGTCTCGTCTCGCCGATGAAATATGAAGTCTTGTCTCGAGTCTCGTCTCGCAACCCCGAGTCTCGTCTTGTCTCGCGTCTCGCACGAGAGTCTCGCAAAAGTATCGCAATTTCGTCATGCATAATGTCTAGTACGGGATATTTACCTTTGCCTACTTTCTAGGTATAATGTCGAAGTAGAGAAAGAAAATTACAACAAATAATAATAATAATAATAATAATAATTTTTATTTTCTGTTAAATGTATAACATGAAACAGTAAAGTACGTCAAAAAAAAATGAAAAATATAACAAACAAACAATGCGACAGCATCACAATTCAATACAATATATTCATCACGTTACTAACATTACATAGAATTACATAAAATACTCATCCAGCGTATAGCAGGCCTTTTGAAAAAATAACGTTGTTTATGGAAGAGTAAGTATCTAATAGGTAAATACTTACATCATACATCTAAACAAGAAAAAAAACATAGCATTATATATTCGAAAGTTATAAAAATGGAATAAAAAGTAAAACGTATATTCTCAACAAATAAACAAAACAAAAACTTTAATCCAACATTATTTTACTTATTTGAGAAATAGGTATTTAAGAAAATAGTTATTTGTTTTACTATATAGGCAGAAAAGTAGTCAATCTACATTTTCTGCCATGTGAAACATAGAATTTTTCCTCCAAATTATATAAAACCAATTTTGTGTGATTTTTTTATTGAAAACTCCATCATTTTGTGTTCACCATATGTCAGTGTCAATTTTGATTACAAATTTCATTAGAATTTCTTGGAACGTTGCATAGCAACACACTTTTTCTGCCTAGGCAGTAAAAGTACACCTTTTCTGCCTGTTAAGCGGCAGGAAAAAGCCACTATTCCTGCCGCTTGGAGAAAAAAACCTTTATCAGTCAGATCAGCCTTCACAATCGCAAATATTTACGTTTTTCACCCAGTCGTCAAGACATAACAAACATCGTGCAGATACATTATTAAGGCGATTCTTATAGAATTCTTCCTGAATATGTTTTATTATGAATGACATTCTCAAGTCTGCAGTCGGCACGCAGAAATATTTACCTGCGAGACTCTCGCACGAGACACGAGAAGTCTTGCACAAGACTCGAGACGAGACCAATGAAAGTCTCGTCTCGCCTTGTCCGAGTCTCGTCTCGAGTCTTGTCTCGAAAACGAGACGAGACCATGCGAGACTCTCGAAAACGAGACTCTCGCGGGCACCACTAGATACGGGGTGTTGAAAAATATATTGTTTTACACATTTCTTACGGGCACTAGTTATTTGGTTCGTACAGAGTAATTTTGAACATACCTTTCTTGAGGTTGGATTTTTTAGTCCAAATCTTATGTGAACCTGAACATCATGCAATTCAACAACAGAAATATACTCCTGATAAAACTCAATACTCTGAACTGTTTTCGAAATATTTTAATATGAGAATAATGGAGTAATAGCTGATGCTGGTATAAAATAATATGATAATTGAGATCAATTATTGCCTATTTATTCAAATTAAAAAACAATGTATAGCTTTATACTAGCAACAGTTATCACTTCATCATTTCCAAATGAAAATATTCCGATTCCACACTGTATAGAGTTTTACCACGAGTAGGTACTTAGGTTTTGAAAAATCTAACCTCAAAAACCTCATCTTTGAAATCAACTTCCAAAAATATCCATACAGAATTTCATTACAATGTTGCCAGTAGTTTTGACACGATCGAAAAAATGTGTAAAACATCTTTTTGCAACAACCTATATCTTGAAAACGGATGCTGTTACATTTTTTCACTGAGCAAACTCAACTTATTCTGCAGTGTTTCACCTACCCTAGCAAGAATTTCACATGTTTTCATCACCCTTTATACACGACCAGGCGTGAAGTCACACTTAACCGCCCGATTTTGCGAGCGTGAAGTGGCACTTTAGCGACCGACGAGCCAAGGAGGGAATAAAAGTACCCTTCTGTTCCCTGAAGTGCATACAAATTTATATAGATTTCCACTTATTTTGTTTTCAAATAGCATGGGGAACAATACCAGCTACCGTTTACATAACAGAAATTGCTAGAGCAGACATGAGAGGTTCACTAGTGTCAGCAGCGCCATCATTTGCTTCTCTAGGTAAGTGACAGTATTTATTTTCCTGGTAATCATCTATTTCTTAATTGGTCAGTTAGAGTAGATGAGCTACAAGACTCCTGGTACAGAATTGAATGTTTTATATCTCGACTACACAGGGTGTTTTCTAGCTACGGTACGAAACTTCAGAAGGTCGTTTCGAAAAAAAAAAGTTTCTATGAACTATGTCCGGGATTATTCATTTATAAAATATCCTAGTTATTTTTGAATTGATTCGGTTGAAATTTCGTACAGGTTTTTGAGAAAATGAGGCGATCATTCAGTTCAATCTGAAATGAAATTATGAGATCCAGTGGTGTCTGAGTGAGCACCACAGCCAATAATATTGAGGAAAAAGTACATCACTGAGTTTTTTCAGTTTTCCAGTTGCTTAGATCGAACAACTCACAGTATAGTTTATGCAAAGTCAGTTGAACAAATCATCAAACGAATGTCGAGCCGCGCTGCCGCACTCTTTGAACTTTCAAAGGGACCGACGGCGAACAAAACAATTTGAAGCCACTCTATTGCATATAATGAATATGGAAAATACATACCAAGATTTTCATTAATATCGAGAAAAAGGAGCCAGTTGTCTCAAACTTGGTTCTCACTTTCTCACTCCTATTTTTGAGCTAGTAATTGAATTTTACTTAATCAATTCAGGTGCGTTTCGGAAGGTTGGAATATGTATCGCCCTACACATATTGTGTTTATTGAAAGTTTTTTCTCCGAACGACCTAACGAATCACCCTCTGAAGTTTAGTACCGTAGTTAGGAAACGCACCGTGTATTTTGGATTGCTTATGAGGAATCCATTATGAGATTGAAATGCTCTTCTCCCAACATTTTGTGTTATAAACAAGGCACAAAGAATTTGTTTGAATTTTGTATTAGTCCTAGATTTCACAAAATAAATTCCCAAATATATGCTTGCGTTAGAACACGAAGGAAAATAGAAGGCTGTACCTACTGACGCCACAAGTACTATATAACGCGCCGATCGTCTATTGGTTATCGAGAAGAATCGATGATGTACTATTCGTGAACTCCAGAAATGATTCTATTTGGTGTAATCATCTTTCAAATTGATTATTGACGAACCTCGAGTACACACTATATCAGAAACAGAACAAAATATGCAGTAATGATACGCAAATGAGACTGACGCGGATATTTACACTACAACTACAGATTACTGAGTCTTAAAATTGTCCTATTGAGGACGCTGTGTATATCGCACGAGTTTTTCATAAGATTATCGGATATTCCACCAATATTTATGATTCTTGTTTCAAGTAGCAAGAGCTGAATAATTGTGTATAGGATGTGACAATGTTTCATTCAAGACAAATTTTGGAAAATATGAAGAACTATGGATTGCTCAGAACAAAGAAAATGTTCTGCATGCAAGATATTCACTGTTTGTATTAGAAAATTTATATCAAGAATACCCTGACTCAAGTAGAGCTGTTTTTTCAGTGTGTGCAAATTTAAATTGAATCCACGTATTTTTTATTCTTATGCATTTTCTCTACTCCAGGAATGGTGATATGTTTCCTCAAGGGTTGGTTCCTCCATTGGCGGACTGTCGCTTGGATGGCCAATTTCTACGCTGTGATACCGGTGATTTTTGTCTTTTTCATTCCCGAGAGCCCCGCCTGGTTGGTGTCGAGAGGGAAAATCGAGCAGGCCGCGAAATCCCTCAGGTGGATCAACAAGTACCAACCGCAACCAGAAAATAGGGTAGGTAGAGCCGAAGATTGATGGATCCTGCATCGAATGATACTATGTTATAGGTCGCGTGCACAATGACCGACCGTGGAGGTAAAATATTGAAACAACCTCACTCTTCTGTGGAACATTGAAACACAACCTCACTTTCTTTATTTGTTCACAGAGAAATCGAAGGATTTAAACAGTTTTTACATTATTTTGGCATACGAATCGTGTTCTTTGCGCTATTATATTGTTGAACAATGCACAAAAAATGCAGCGAGAGACGAAGGCATATGATTTTTCGGGTAAATAGTAACCTCAGAGTTTCCGTTATGAAATTCTGTCACTTATTATTAAAATTCCTTCTGCCACTTCTGCAATAGAAGCTAATACTACTAAAAGATTGAAAATGTCTACAACACACATGATCATATCTCGTCAGCATGTCAGACCAGTCTTCCCATTTGATTGCATGATTCCAATCTTCTAGCATTATTTCAAAAATTTCACGAGTATTTCTATCAGTTCCTATTGCAGAAGGAATTCCGATGAAAAATCAGAGAAATTACCAAACTTCAAAAATGAAAACTATATGTGAGTAACTATAGTAGGTTCATAATGTATCAACCTGTTTTCTTCGTCTCCCGCTGCATTTTTTGTGCATTGTACAATAGCACAATGTGATGGCATGCGCGGTTTGATAAATAGCCGAAAAACACGATTCGTATGCCAAAATAATTGTGAAAAACTATTCTGATCACTTGGAAGCAAATGAAAAAAGTGAGGTTGTGTTTCAATATTTCACCTTCAGGGTCGGTCATCGGACAGTTCATAAACTTCACAAGCGGGAGAAAATGGATACCTTTGCTTCCTAGATATATAAATTGCTATTTGATCTTTGTTTGAAATAGAGTGAAAGTTATGCGGAGCTGCAACTCAATCTACTGCAGAAGGAACATGAGGCAAAACTAGAAGAACAAGCTAGGAAAGGAGAATTTGGAATGAAATCCAAACTCATGGAGTTCCTCAAACCGACTGGATACAAGCCAATGCTCATTCTACTCGGACTCTTCTTCTTCCAGCAGTTTTCTGGCATTTACATTATGCTATTCTACTCTGTTACATTCTTTCAAGTAAGTTATAATGTATCTACTCACTGCATTGAAAGTAAGGACACATACCTGTCAATTTACTCCCATGGGAGAAAATAGTTATTTACCTAACAAGTGCGGAAAGTATTACTTTGCGGAAAAGTAAAATCGTACGGAAAAGTGCAACCTTCAAACCTTACATTTCCGCACGCTCTTAGGAAATAGTTTTACCTAACAAAGTGCGGAAAAGTCACTGTCGTTGCGATGACCTGAACGCTATACGGGAAAACATGTCTGATTTCCAATCGGGAAGGTCCCATTTTGAAATGGGTTAGAAATTAAATTATACATAAATATGTATCATGGGAATTTAATGAGCCTTATTAACCTCAGGCAATTGCTGTCCCTCAGGCCAGAGGCCCTCTTATAATTAATTCCCTTGAAGCGTAGGAAATTAATTGAATCATTCATGTGATTATCAATGCAAATAAGAACAACTCACAAGAATGATATATTCCATATAATATACTAATTATTAGTAATAGAGCTATTGTGAATGTACTGTGTGTCCAGTTTTCGATGCTTTTGCCTGATATCTCAGTTATCTTTGGAGATAGAACCTTGCGGTTTTCGCGGTCCTGTGCCACTTTTTTGTGAAACTCAAGATGGCCTAATCAGATTTTGCGAGACTATTTCCGTTCATAAGATACAGGGCGATTTTGAAAATTTATACTTTTTGGACCCCCTCTATATCCACGAAGTTTCTCAACAAGAATGTCAAATCAAAATCTTATCGCATAGAGAATTTTACGCATAATCCAGTGGCGCACTAAAATTTTTTTTTCGGGGTATGGTTTTGGAGATACGACTCAAACTTATGATTTTTTAAATGAAACACCCTGTATTTCATAAGCTCATTAAATTCCTTATTTTTTTGTCTTCAAAATGATATATAACGAATGAATATAACATTCTCAAAATTGCTCAAAATCACTAAAATATTGAATTTTTATAGTTGGTTATGGATTTTTCTTATGAAAAACGTTCCAATTGAAGAAATATTTCTTTAAATTTTTCCATGGAAAGGTCAAAACCAATATCAACACTTATTGATTAACAAAACAGTAAACTTGGGTACCTGATAGCAACAAATAAATAGTAATATGAAGTTCATAATGTAGAATAGGCATCTGATTAAATATTTACTAAAATAATTGAATTCCGGAATTATCAATCAATTTAAAAAATCATAAGTTTGAGTCGTATTTTCAAAACCACACCCCGAAAAAAAAATTGTTGTGCGCCACTGAATTCTGCATAAAATTCTCTATGGGATTTTGATTTGACATTTTCGCTGATAAACTTCGTAGATATAGAGGGGGTCCAAAAAGTATAAATTTTCAAAATCGCCCTGTATCTCATAAACGGAAACAGTCCTGCAAAATCTGATTGGGCCATCTTGAGTTTCACAAAAAAGTGGCACAGGACCGCGAAAACCGCAAGGTTCTATCTCTAAAGATAACTGAGATATCATGCAAAAGCATCGAAAACTGGACACACTGTACAGTTTGACGCATTATGTTGATTCATTGTGGAAGCCAGCATGCCCATTAGGTCTTCTAGGTTTCAGACATTTCAATAGGAAATGAGCAAAAAATACTTCTTCATTTGGTGATTTCACTTTTTTATTGTTGCACTATTCGATAAAACGCGTGTATTGCTTTTCTTAACCTTTTCAGTTTAGTGAAGTTTTTGATCACCTGTATGATTCATTATGGCAATTTCACTGAATCGAAAATTACAATAACGGTGTGCCTGTCACTCCAACAATTACAAACTGATTTGTCTTGCGATTGGCATGACAACAATAATTGTTTGCCACCTCAGGTCAATCCAAGAATATAGGGGGATTTCGATAATAATTATAAATTTATATTTTTCAATATTTCTTTATTTTCACATTGAAGGCAATTTGATGGATGATTTTGAAAAAATATACTCACACCTCAAAAAACAAGCTTAAACTTCTATATTCCATCACCAACTACTTATATTTTGCGATAATATCATATCATTGTTTTTCCCGCAATAGGTGGGAAAAAATTTCCCGCACTGTTGCGGGAAAATGACAGATTACTCTATTGCTTTTGGGTGTATGATAAATTGACATTCATCATACAGGGCGTGGAAATGAATTCTGAATTGAGACTCTATCACGAATCTGCGATTAGAGGTCTATAAAAATCACAAGTTTCCATCGTTCAAGTTTGAACCCCCTGATTGGGTATGAAAGTGTTGAAAAGGAATATTCTCAGATAAATTATGAACATACAAAAATGGATATATATTTATATAAAGCAATACATTGAGAATTCGCATTCTCTATGTGATGAGAATATTTACTCTTTTTCAGTTAATTCAATAGAAAACAACTACTTTCCTGGCTATATGCCACGACGAACATTGAATTATATCTATTGAACACACACGATAAGAGTTTGAAAATAAAATATAAAAATTTTTGAAATTGAGAATTTGCATTCTCCTTCAGACAAAAATATGTATATACACAAATCATTCTGAATATTCAACAGAAAACAACTACTTTCCTGGCTATTTGCCACGTCGAACATTGAATTATATCTGATGAACATTCAAAAGGGAACATGAAAAATGAAGAATAAAATCCTCCGAAATTGAGAATTGACATTCTTCTTCAAATCGGATGAATAATATGATGAATAGTGATCTGAATATATTGGTAAGTCATATTTTTAGATCACTATTCATCATATTATTCATCCGATTTGAAGAAGAATGTCAATTCTCAATTTCGGAGGATTTTATTCTTTATTTTTCATGTTCCCTTTTGAATGTTCATCAGATATAATTCAATGTTCGACGTGGCAAATAGCCAGGAAAGTAGTTGTTTTCTGTTGAATATTCAGAATGATGTGTGTATATACATATTTTTGTCTGAAGGAGAATGCAAATTCTCAATTTCAAAAATTTTTATATTTTATTTTCAAACTCTTATCGTGTGTGTTCAATAGATATAATTCAATGTTCGTCGTGGCATATAGCCAGGAAAGTAGTTGTTTTCTATTGAATTAACTGAAAAAGAGTAAATATTCTCATCACATAGAGAATGCGAATTCTCAATGTATTGCTTTATATAAATATATATCCATTTTTGTATGTTCATAATTTATCTGAGAATATTCCTTTTCAACAGATTACTCTATATCACTATTACTCTATATAACCATCCAATAATATCCTCCATGATAAGCTATATAGGGTGGTCAAAAAGAAATTCTATCTTCAAATAATTTCAACTTCGCTCGGCTTTGCTAAACGCTCCGCCTCGCAAATGCAAAATTCGCTTGTCAAACAAAGTGTCAGTTTTGATCCTAATAAAACAATCTACTATTTTTTTCCTCTTTCAGGCAATGGGAAGTACAATGAATCCGTACTTGGCGTCGATCTTCATTGCTGCGGTGCGGATGCTCATGTCCTGCGCGAACACTTATATGCTGAGAACCTTCAGCAGACGGCCTCTGGTGATGGCTAGCGGCTTGGGAATGTGTCTGTGCATGACTTTTTCCGGTCTGTTCACCAAATGGGTGATAGAAGGTGAGCGATATCTGAAAAAGTTGGCAACAAATGGAAATAATATATAAATTCTTCCACCACTAGCTATAGAACCAATACTACAGGGTGTATCTAAATAACACGAAAAAAAATCAAGGAGCGATTCCTTATGATATTTTAGGAAATAAAGTTCATATGAACATGTGTTCTAACTTTCTTCATTTTCGAGATACAGGGTATTAATATTCCATGAAAAATTGTTTATTGTTTATTCTTTACTTAATTGTCTTTTCATAAATTTCGATAAAACGTTGTGGATTTGTTAATAGGAGTATGGAGCTTCTTGTGGTGCAATTAGATTCGAAATAATATCTCTAGTGTCGTCACAGTGGGTATAAATTTTTCGATATTTATGGTGAGTGTCATTGTACGCCACCGGTTTTTCGAAGTTTAATATTTTCAATAGATTGATCTATCTTGATAACAACTCTTTCATTCCGTGTGTGATTTTTGTATCTACTTTTGTTTTTGAGAAAACAATAAAAATTCTATTTGACTCCAAATTTCAATGTAGGTGTTTTCAATACTCCCATTGAGATTACTTAATAGCCCCAATTACAACCATTTCGAAATTTTAGAGCATCCTCATTCCTCAGTCTCCAACCATACTGAATTTTGGCACCATAAAAGCTTATACAGGGTGGTTATAAGAGAAACTTCAAAATCCTGTATCACAATAGCGGAACGCGAGTTAGGACACATGTTCATAAGAACTTTATTTGCTATCACAATAAGGAATCACCCCTTGAATTTTCTCGGTGTTATTTAGATAAACCTTGTATAAATCAGACCCTGATGCGACAATCCTTTTTACTAATAACAACTGAAAACAAACTTTGAATACATTCTGCATTACCGATCGTTACCCTTCGCTACTCAACAAAAAGTTGTCGCTGATTGATACCGCCTCCTACTGAATAGAATCTCTGGCTTCATAGCTATCTTTTAAGGATGGCTCATATTGTTAGTATAAATAATCAGTAGATATACTATATAAGTACATCGAAATATTCGGGTTATACATCGATCACTTATTGCATAATTCTGTTGAACTGACACGTAATTGTGCAGGAAGTTTGAGATGTATAACCTTTGATGCTCTTGAAGTCCGAATTGTATTCGATGCGACTATTTTTTAGAAGTTCTGAATGAACGTCAAAATTTTACGACGCGCTTTGTTTGTATGTAACAATATGAATTGGTTACAATGGAAATTTAAGCATTTCTAGAATTCTGATAGGTGGAACTACTCTATGTATAACCACGTATATTCGAAATTATACAAGGTAGCTTAACTCAATTGAACGTTTTGATTGCTTTGAAATCATACAAAGGAAATAATCAAGGATATAATATTATGGAAGTGGAAATAATTCTAAATTCCTGATTGGTGGAACAACTCTAGGTATGCAGGGAGTTCCTTAATGACATAATATGCTAATATTCAAGGGGGCGATTCTTCGACCCATTTCAAAAATAAAACTTCATATGAACGTATGTCGTAAAAGTCCTAACTATTCAGATACAGAGGGTATCAAAGTTTAACATATTCATAGATTCTTTTTTTGTCCACCCTGTATACCTCTTCCTGATGGAAAAATTTATTGTTATGTGACTGAAACAGTGCGAAATTTCCAAAATGTTTCATACTGTGGTTATCCAGTAATATACAAGGTGATTCTAAAATAGGTGGTCAAACTTGGGGAGCATATAGAGTGGGTGAAATAGTCACGAAAACTTCCGTAACATTTTTTTCTGAAGTGATCCCCAAAAAAGATACAGCTCCTCAAAGGGGGCCTCGGAGAATGATTTTGTATTATTATTATTTCCAGCACCTTGTATAATGAGAATCTCAAAATTTTGTCCATCCATTACTATTCAATGCCGGTTCGAATGGAGTTTAAATCACCTCAAAATTAAATACAGGGGTGTGTCAAAAATAGGGAGGCAGGGGGTAAAAATAACCCCAACTTTTTTGTTCATCGCAATTTTAGTTTTTTGACATGGAATTATGAAATCTCAGGGCTATTAACATAGAAAAGGATCTCTTGTTCGCTAATGGTTCATTTTATCGAGATGCAACAAGAGCACCTTTTCTATGTAAATTCCCCTGAGATTTCATAATTTCATGTCAAAAAACTGAAATTGCGATGAACAAAAAAATTGGGGTTATTTTTACCCCCTACCTCCCTATTTTGACACACCCCTGTATTCAATTTTGAGGTGATTTTGAATCCATTCGAACCGGCACTGCATGAATAGTAAGTGGATGGACAAAATTTCAGATTTTCATTATACAAGGTGTTGGAGATAATAATACAAAATCATTCTCCGAGCCCCCCCTTTGAGGTGCTGTATCTTTCTTGGGGGTCACTTCAGAAAAAATTGGTACGGAGGTTTTCGTAACTATTTCACCCACTCTATATGCTCCGAAAGTTTGACCACCTATTTTAGAATCACCTTGTATATCCTAAATGATGGAGTACTCAGATTAGCATTTACATCAAAATTTGAAGTTTGATCTCTTTTTTTCGTTTTTTCTCGAAAATGGAACGTTCTATGGTATCAACAAAAGACTATTTTTTTGTTCCAAATTGAGTGACTATAGCATTTTATTAAATTTGGCAATATTCCTTCGTTGCTCACTTTTAAGTATAATATAATCAATCATATTCCCTTAACGGCGCCACTGGTAGAGGAAAGGAAAATTCGTCTACATCAAAAGATGCACCTTGATGCAAGATGCAAAGAAGATATGTACTAAATATCATAAAGATATCTAAAATATTATCCCAGTCAGGTAATATCAAAAAACTGATTTTTTTTTCAGAACCAACTCCATCCCCCTTCACCCTGTATCTCAAAAATTGAGACTTCTAGGACATCAGTTAGTGGGAAGTTTTTTCTTCAAATGCGTTGAAGAATCACCCCCTCGAATAGTAGCATGTCTTTGAAGGAATAATCAAGGATAATACTAGGAGTATCTCCGTTGATTTTCGATTTTCCATTTTTTCTCCAGGCTCCTGCGACCAGACCTGGATCCCCGTGTTGCTCCTACTGCTCTACGTCGTCGCCTCTATGATCGGCTTGCTGCCGATCCCGTGGACGATGACGGCCGAACTGTACCCGATCGAGATCAGGGGCGTGGCCAACAGCTTCTCCTACGCCTCGGCCAACTTGATCATGTTCGGTGCGATACAGAGCTTCTGGACGCTGGAGAGCATCTTCGGAGGTATCGCCGGAGTGCAATGGTAGGTGTTTTAGATGATAACTGCATGAAATTTTGTATTTTTCTAGTTGGTTGTAGGAAATAGCTAGAGACAGATGAATTGCAGTTGATTACTTTTAGATTTATCGTCATTCGTTCATGGATCAGTGGCGGATAGGGTTTGCAATCCCGAAATACCGATACCAGAAATCCCGGGGTTGTAGTGATATTTTTATACCGAGAATCCCCACATCCGACTAGATCTCGGGATTTTCAGGATTAGTTTTGACCAATAAGACTTCGCTCTCGTCAAGTGAATCAGCTTAATATTATTCAAGTTCCTGAGAATTAGTTATCATGAAGATACTCGTGAGTCATAGTTTCAGAGGCAATAATTGTTGAACAAGATGATGAGGAAGATAGAATTCCTTTTTTGCGAGTCAAGCATCACCAAGTGCGTCACTGACTCAACCTCTACCTCGAAGAGAAAAATGTTGAAAGAATCATTTGAGAAACGCAATGCATCAAATTCAACAAATAATATTAGCCTTTTCGAAAATGGTGAATTTTGAGGTACATATCTTCAGCTGTCATATTATGATCTTCGAATAACTATACCTCCAACTAGTGGAGAATATGTAAGTGTATTTTCCTCAACTGGTACCATTTGCACAAAAATCAGCACTCGAATCGCAGATAATACCCTTTACGAATAGAATTTTGTACGCTCCTTATTCAGTCAACACTGTGAGTAGGTAATGAATGTTCGGCCTTTTTCTCTCTCCACTTTTTCATGTATAGATTACATTTTTTTATATACAGGGTGTCCGCTAAAAGGAGGTCAATCCATTGACCATATATTCCTTGAACAAGAACAATATGAGTTTCTAAATACCATTTTTCATTTCTGCCCTTCATATTCGATATACAGGGTGTCAAAGTTGGGAATCAAAAACTGTTTTTTTCTAATTACTCGCGTATTTGATGAGATATTAATCTCAAAATTGGTACATTACTTCAGCACAAAGAGTTACATCGTGTGAGGAAAACAAAACAGAAAATAACTGTCAAATATTCAAAATACTGGGGTTCAAGTACACACTTTACCCCATATTTTTTTTGTACGTGCGCTAATGACTCCCTATCTATTTTTCTTCAAGTGTTCAATCATTTTTGAGTATTTTTTGATATTTGTAAAATTCCGATAAACTTATTTGTTTTTGAGATAATTCGAAAAGTACTGCTTATTGTATGATGCCTGTGCGGCTTACGGTAATCTCAGTATGTTCACATACTCCGAAGAGGGCGTATCTATTTACGTACGAAAAGGTAAATATGGAAATACCAGGTGCTCAGAGCAAATGTACTAAATTAATCTTTACAAAAAAAAAAAAATGAAAAAAGTGTAAAAATTATTTTAAAACATTTGCTCTGAGCACCCGTTATTTCCATATTTACCTTTTCGTACGTGAAAAGTTACGCCTTCTTCCAATTTCGACGAAACAAATAGGAGTATGTGAACATTATGAGATTACCATAAGCCGCATAGGCATCAAACAATAACCAGTACTTTTCGAATTATCTTAAAAACAAATAATTTAATCGAAATTTTACAAGAAACAAAAAATACTCAAAAATGATTGAACACTTGAAGGAAAATAGATAGAAAGTTATTAGCGCACATACAAAAAAATATGGGGTAAGTGTGTACTTGACCCCCAGTATTTTGAATATTTGACAGTTATTTTCTGTTATGTTCTCCTCACACGATGTAACTCTTTGTGCTGAAGTAATGTATCAATTTTGAGATTAATATCTTATCAAATACGCGAGTAATTAGAAAAAAACAGTTTTTAATTTCCAACTTTGACACCCTGTATATCGAATATAAAGGGCTAAAACGAAAAATGGTATTCAGAAACTCATATTGTTTTTGTTCAAGGAATATGTGGTTAATGGATTGACCTCCTTTTAGCGGACACCCTGTATATACGAGTATCTACAGTATACCCTCTAATTTTTTCAAATTCTACTCCCGATACCGTTGATCCCGGGTTCGTATCAATTTGATCCCGAAATTCCGGGATTGTTTTATCACTCCGGGATTGCAAACCCTAGTGGCGGACCAGTTATGATTATGATTATGAATTTGAAGAATGAAATACGAATATCTAGTACTCTCGTAAAGTACTGAATACATTTATTTTCAGCTATACATTCCTGAGAAATCTTCTGAAACAAGTCAATTTTAATTTTCAATTTGCCACATTCATAAGGAAAGATTGAAAATACAGAGTCTGAGTTATGGCATCCGCGACAATTCCTTCAAACGGAAAACCCTGTATATTATTTGATATTCAAAGTCTTCATGAAAAGCTGCTCAATACATGTCGTCCCATCAGTTTCAGAGCAATGTAACCCCAGGAAACTTTCATTGGCTAAATATTGGCATTTTTCAATGGAAAATCACAAAAGTTGCCTACTGACCGCATTGACGCCAATATTGGCGATGCAGTACTTCAATTTATTGCTTGTTCATTGTTGGCCAGTGACGTATTTTCCGTACATTCCCTATGAAAATTGAGTGGTTTATTCTCACACAGAATTTTGAGGTTTCGTATGGGATTTATTATTTATTGATATTGTAATAATTTATGGAACATAGCAAAACTCAAGAACTTATCTTCTTTAGTATCAGGAAAAAACTATTTGAGAACTCCAAGTGAGCTATGTCAGGTGGAAACAGATATCCAAGTCCGAGGTTGCAGTACCAAGATTCCTTTTAGGACTGAAACTTCATGGTAGAGATACTTTTAACGTATAACGATTGATGTTCTCGAAGAAGATTATCAGTTCAAATACAACTAAATGCGTTATTTCGATTTATTTGGATTTGAATAATAAAACACTTGAATAATGAAACACTCATTATTCTATTTATCATCTTGTTCACTTCACATCTTATAATAACAAATGACGGCTCATGCGCCAAAGGAAGAAGAAACAAAATGGAAGACCTAGTGAAAACACATCAATTGTTGATCATCAAAAAAATGCTGGTAGGCTGATGGTTCATTGTCATTTCATTAATGTCTTAATGACATTGATATAGGAACCTATATCCTTTTTTCATCATTCAGCCAGTACTGTTCCAGTGATCTTTGTAAAATGGATGATTCCCATGGATCCTCCAATGCCGTAAAAATAGTGGAATCCTAATCCATATCCAGGAAATACACTATTGTACCAGCATAATGCAAGTGCAGCATACGTATTATATGATTGAAATCGTAATGAACATGAGTAGTTAAAACTAAGAGAGCACGACTACCAGCATAGGGAAATACATGCTTTAATCTTAACTGGAACGCGGCCTGTGTTCTAGCGGGGAAGCGGGGTAGCGGGAGCGCGATGGCGTGACATCATCAGTGACAGGGTGTTTGAGTTGAATAAAAATTGAAAATTATATATACAGGGTGTCCCACGGTTAGACCACCCCACTTTAGGGGTAAATATTGAAGGATTGGGGAGTGTGGGTACTCTGAGAGAAGGATTTTTCGCGAACATTCCAAAAATGGCAACTTACCTATATGCAAAGTCTCAAGGTTTACAAGATATCGCTCTAAATGCGTTGGAAATATCATATGAAATAGTCTCTTTGGATATGACATAGTAGAGCTAGTTTCGATTTTTTTCCCAGCGTCAAAAGAAAATATGAATAAGTATTGAAGTTGAATTGAAACAAATAACAGGAAATTACTGATAAGAAGATATTATAATAGAAAAACAAGTTTATCATTTGAAAGAAAAAACAAATTTTACAAGAAATGGGAAAAAACAATCTCTTATCAGAAGACAACATATTATGTGAGAAACATTATGTTTTCATTCTACCACCTTGATATATAACAGCGGAGCGCTCTGACAAAATTCAGTCAACGTTCGACATCCACATTAATCAACACCTATAGCCACATCTGATAGCAATCCTGTGTAGTGCCAAAACTGCCGATATCTAAGAAAGTAAGTTTTTTTTTTTCTTAATATTCACTAAAGCTTGATCCTGATGTTTGATGCAATTTCCGTAATTCACTTTTTTTTGTTTTTATTTCTAAAAGTGAATACTATTGCTTGATATCTTCATTTTTTGTGTGTACATTTCATAATTCATTTCAATGTTTTTTCATATTGAAAAGTGAATGCCATTGCGCGTTTTCATCGATTCATTTTTTCGTGTACACATCATAATTCAACCATTTGAAATGAAAAGACCAGTTCCACAATCTTTTCTTTTTAGATGGATTTGAATGCAATCAATAATGTTGGGCTGTCATGCAACAGGAAAGTGTTGAGGAAACTGAGCCAACTGCCCCTAGATGTGCCACACCCCATTGTCGGAGTGCAAATTAAACTGGGAAAATACGGAGAAGCACCACTCGTTGAGTTGGATGATTGTAAGGTGTTTCTACCAGGCAGAGCGACCCAAGCAATCAAACCTGCGGTGGAGCAGTTTATCCAAAACAAGTACGCCCTCATCTACAAGGGGCGAAAAAACTGCGGCCAACTCCATCCCATCGAGCAGTTTGAAATTGTGGAAACAGCACCTCAATCACCAACATCATAAGCTATTGAGAATCAGAGTGTGAGTCATTTTACTTTGTCACTTTTCACAAGATACATTTGTAAAGATGAATATCGCTAAACAATCAGATAACTTAGTGATAGCCATTAGGAAACTAAAGAAAATTTTGTTTGATAATTTCACTGATAGGGATGAAAAAATTTGGTTAAATCGCTTAAAGAGGTACATAAGATTATGTAACAATGAAATTAATAAGAATAAGATGTCCATAGGCTTGATGAGAAAGTTTCAAACGAATGTTGGTCATTTTAAGCATTTTCGCAATTTAATTCGAAATAGACATCGAGACAGTAGAGGGCTTGAGTTGAAAAATAGGGTTCAATGGAGAGATGTGGCATCAGGTTTTTCAAGTAGAATCAGAACGGGAATAATCATCAATATAACACATAAGGACTTGGAGC